AGCAAGGTTAGTCTCACCCTCACAAAAAATTCATTTTTCCATGATGTTGAGACAGCCTTTGAGTCAAAATTGATAGCTCCAGATTGCTCCATGATAGTTTTCCACATCAAACACATTTTCTGGGCTAGGCAGGTATCTGGAATGCAGTTCATTAACCTTGCCCTAGGCAAGATTAAACACATGTTCAGCACATCATACAAACAACCCTAGTATTAAACAAAATTCACCAACTGGTTCAAGCATATCTATTGCCTATGACCCAGACAAAAGCTTCTCCCAGAGGTCAGTTAGAGCCATACAGGGGCTGCAGAGGTTGCTTACTGCCCCATGATTAAGATTTGTTGTTTTTCCCATTTATGTATGCCTGTGCTTACTGAACCTAGTGATTGCTACATGGTGCCAGGAGTGCAAATGAGAAAGACCTTTAAAGAATCTGAGTTCCAAACTAAAAAAAAAGTTGGCAACAGAGAGCAAGTGGAGCTTTACAGCCACGTGGAAGGACAAAGGCCTCTGTAAGTGATCTGCCTGCAGCGTGGAAGTCTAAGGCCATGGTTCTCAACCTCTTTCAAATGGAGACACCCTTGGATGGACTTAAGGCACTCCTGAGAAAATGCCAGCTATTAGTTTGCACTTTTTTTTAACTACAGATAAATAATAGAACAGTTTTTCTGTTACAAAGAATTCAGAAAGGCCACAACTATGGGGGGGGTTTATTTGACATTTCTAGGTTTATCTTGTGAATCGTGCTTGTAAATGTGACAATGCTGTGCACCCTGATACCTTCTTCTTCCTGAAGAAGATCTCAGGGCAACCCGGGACGCCGTGGCACCCTGGTTGAGAATCACTGGTCTAACTAAAAGGACAGGTAGTCCTGGAAGTTTTGCAACCCCCACCTCTCTTCTGATGTCAGGTAACAGCAGAAAACTGGAGGGTGTTCAAACAAAGGTCTGAGTGGGATCTAGACACCACAGAAGCAGAAGAGAAAAATGATAAATTCAAACTGGGGACCCTGTGGCAGTCATTGAAATCTTTTTGAAAATTAAACAACATTTATGTGACTAATTAGTGTGTTAAGAATTGAAAGTTACGACATCTGAAAATCCTCTTCAGCACAGCATCCATGTAAAACATTAACAGTGCCATAGGAGGCATGTGATCGTGTAATAAAAGGCAGCATGCACCCATGACAGTTGAATGAAGATTGTCTAGGTCACCTTTATCCTGGCTTTTCCTCACTGAGTGCCTGATTTTTCAATGTTAGCAATGCTTTATTAACAAGATTTTGCCTATAATTCCGTCATTTTTTTGAAGGAAAAAGGTAAAAACAAACTGCATTTATTCTGATTGTTATCATGCAGCATCAACTGGGTTTGAACCCTGAATCTGCAGCACAGCTTGAGCTACAAAACCAACTGCATGGACTGGGAGCAGGACAATGCTGTCCTTTCAGCAGAAGGAATACTTCTATCTAGGGACCTAGTCAGGGAGAGCCTGGTTCTCTTTCTCTCTCTGCCCTAGGGAAACTGTTCACTTCTGAGGTTCCCAGTGCAATTAGCTGTGTGGTAGCAGCAGTAGCATTATTATGGCCTGAATTCAATACGTTCAATATTAGTTTGTAGTTTACAGGCTATGAAAACCAATGTCAGCAAGAAAAAGGAAATAAAACACTGCAAAATTTGAATTTAAATTCACGAGAAAAACAAAGAAAAGGAACTTCTGAGGCTCTAGAACATTGTTCCTTCTGGTCTTCAAAGGACCGCTGCAAACAATGGAAATGTTTGAGCTTCTCAAAAAAGAAGTCACAAAATTTTGGGGTTTTTTGCAATGGAAGCTGTGTTAAGGAACCTAAACACAGGGAGCATGCCCAGCTCTACCTACAACAAAGCCTGTACCAGAGACCAAGGGAGTGAGGAAAAGCAGTCTCCTAAAAAATAGTGGCTCAGAAATCAGGAGAATCTGAAGCTAAAGGAAACTGCAGACTTAGAGGATGCCAAAATTAGCTTAGTGCTACATAATTTTCAAAATGCACTGCTTCATGGAAACTGTGCATTAAGACTCAGTTGTGTTACCCAGATTCCAGGCTTTAAATCAGACAGATGGAGCAGGATAAAAGGCTGAGGAATAAGTGGCTTATGAGACTTGCAGGTTTGGTAGGGGGGAAGGGGTCCTTCAGCTCTAGGCTGTTTTCCTCAACCATATGCAACGTGCATGGAATTGGCAGCTGTCCACCTTGGGGCTTGTGGGATCATAGTGGGTAGAGAGTCCTGCCGCCACAAGTACTGTGGTTGGTTAGTCTGTGGGTAGTTGACTTAGTGTGGTAGCCTGCCAAAGGCTAGCCTGCAGTGAAAAACAATGAGCACCACTTTTGGGTGGTTAATCTAGTATTTATCTCCTACTGCAGTCATCCCTTTGCCCTTAACTGGAGTTGAATCTGGCCTCGAATGAGAATCTGAGTTCACTTATGTCACTATAATTGGCCACATCTGTCTGCTAGTTTCAGGAAGTGTTTCATGGTGCTGCATGTGGGAGAGTTTAAAGTAACCACCACCAAATGCGTGCACAGAACAAAACTATCACTCTAAGAACAATAAAATGACCCTATTATCATTTCACACAATGCTGGTGTGTGTCTGTAAGACAAATAACCACCATGTTCTGCATGTCGACAGAAAGCACATAAGCAGTATCAACTCCGTGATTTTAAAGCAAACAGTATATCTGCATGGATACAATCCTAAAAAAACTAGTGTGTGCAATACAGGCTTGAAAATGTGCGTGAATTTATCTGATACCTCTTAATCTATTGATTAGGAAAAGACGGCCCAGCTAGTGCAGGTGCAGGGAGCCAGAAGGACATGAGACATGGAGAGTTTGCAAGATACAACATTTTTTCTCTCCAACACAGGCTGCTTCCTACATATTTCAAATACAGCCCTTTATTTGTACAGCAGCCTCCCTTCCCTTGGGTTTCTTGGTTTGAGCTGCTATCAGGCACAAAATGAGCCACTGCTCTGTTCTGAGATGGCAATTACTACCTTCTGCTGAAGTACATTCAAACCATTAGTGTTAAGGTTTTCATACAAAGAGACTGCCACACACCAAGTACCATGCAGTATTAAAAAAGATGTGCATAATCACAGCTCTGTCTGGACAGTCTACCACTTTACTTGCATAGCAGTACTGGTATGTACAAAGGTGTAACACAGCATACAGCCCAGAAGGATATGGAGTACAAGTTGCACACTTTGGGAAAACCATGGGTGTACTAAGGTTCACGGTAAAACTCTCCTTAACCGCAACTGAGCCATCAGGGCCAACCATGAACTAATAGCTTTCCATATCAAGATGTGGATATCATATTTTCATCACTTTCTAAGCTCTGATTGCCTGAAACAGCACCACATGTACCCAAAACGAATGTCCACTCACTGCTTGGAAAATGAAGCCATTATTGTTTTCTGTCCTTAGGCCTAGCAGCAGTATGATGTGGTACACCACTGGATGATGGATAGCCTCAACATTAGATACTGCCTCAGCACTGGAAGGTCAACTTGGTACTTTACAGTTGTTTGATGTTAAAGCCAAATCTTTTGGTTCACAAGTCAGTGGTAAAGCTACTCGCCCGTACTGCCTCCTAAGCAGTTCATTTAACCACTGATGTTATTTATATTAGGTTAGCATGCAGCATCTCCAACCAAGATCAGCGCCTCATTGTATAGCTCCTGCCCTACAGTGCTTACAATCTAAACAGAAGTATCCATAGAGTGGGGAAGTGATTTGCCCAAGTCACACAGCATAACAGTGGTAGAGAATCAAGAACAAAACCCAGGTCTCCTGACTTCCAGTCCATTTGTCTCTTCTGTCTTGGCTGTTCTGAGTAAAAAAAAGTTGCCTAATAATGTTTGTACTTACAGGGCACAAACATCTTAAGAGTCGAGCACTATGCTATATAACTGTCAGCCTCATATTGAGGGACTGCTGCTGCTGTTGACACTATGTAAAGGGGGGGAGGTGTAGACCCATTTTACAGATGTAATAAAGTGGGCATAAAAATGGCTACAGACATTTTCAAAGTGGATGACACAAACTAGGCATCAAAATCCATATTTGGGTACTAATAGAATTGGCCTCATTTTCAGAGGTCGATTGCACCCATTGTTCTAATACATTAAAAAAAGGAAGAAGTGTAGGCATTGCCTATTCTAAAATTGGATGAATTTCTCAAATTCATACTTCTACCAGAAAGGTATGAAGATGCCAGTCATGTCTTGCCAGGAAACTGAAATTTTTAAAATCTGTTTTATGTTAACAGTAAAACCTACTGTTGACATGGATGGCAATCAATATAACTTCTTTTTTAATTATGCAAACCTGACTATTCTCTCTAGACTTACTAAACAACCTCATAAGTTTCTGTTAATAAAGCTGCTGACAGACATGAACCCCCCCCCCCCCCCCAAAAAAAAAAACCCCAAAAAAAACAAACAACGCTCAACTGGAAGAAGACCATTATTTTGACCCACTTTGCCCAACAACTATATAGATCATGTGCTTCAGTGGGGCCTTTTTGGCACTTTTATCCAATAGCTGATTCAAATAGCTACTGATAAAAGTGCCAAAAAGCTCCACAGAAGCAAGCAATCTATACACATGTTGGGCAAGCCAGGTAAACTAATACGATGCCTCTTCTGGGGCTGCTTAGTGCGGGGGTGAGCCAAGCCAAAAGTAAAGCGCTGTTTGTTTTAGGTTTTTTTCACATCTGTAAGCGGCCAATAGCACTTACGGAGGAACATGTAGTCCATGTTATCTATAACAGTTGGGGAGGTTTTTTTTCCTAATACATCAGCGCTGGCACAGCGAAGGCAGCTACCCTAAGATTTTAACTTTTTGAATAATAGGTCAACCAAACTGATCAAGAGAATGTCTCTCCTGTTGCCCAGTGCACCAGGCTCAGTTTTCTGGGGAAAAGAGTTATAGTTTTGTCCTTTCCTTTGTAAAGTCTCTCTCTACAGGAATATATGATTTTCTTCTAGCTTGTCATTTGCCTTAAATTGGGAGGAAGAGAAATTTACAGGCTCCTTCTTGGCCTTCTTTGCAACAAGGTCACACCGCTGGCTCAGATTCAGCTTATTGTCCACTGTAACTCTGAGGTCCTTTTCTGCAATATGTATGTTTTGTGGAGAAACAGGATTTGCCCAAATTAACTGAATAGAAAGCATTCTGCACAGGGACTTCTTTAGCAAGGAGCCCCATTAGCATCTTTACAGTCACTGATATTAAGCCAGTGGTCCTGGTTCTTAATTGGGGTGCTGTGGCACCCCAGGATCCCACAAGTTCCTTTCAGAGTGCCACTACACAAGGGACCATCACCACCCTTGGTAGAACTGAGCTGTGTACATCCTGCAGAGTCAAATTTGGAAAAGCTGTGGCAGGAGAGTATGCTCTTGCCACAGAGCTTCCCAGTTTGACTCCAAATAATGGGTGCATTGACACATGTGCTTTAATGAGCATTAACTTATTTTAACGTGCATTAAAGCATCACAAACCCCGCCCCCCATGCATTTTCGCTAATGTGCATTAAAATAGGCTAATGTGCCTTTTTCTAATACCTCACAATGGAGGTACTCAATTTAATGCGCATTAGCAAAAGAGCATTAATGAATGTGTAGATGTGCCCAGTGTCTCCCAGAAACAGGTGCTCAGAACAGGTAAAAAACTGTCCCATGCACCTCTGTTTCCAGGAGGAATATGTGGGGGGGAGTACGTGGGGAAACAGGTTTTCTTGTCATAACCTGTCTGCAATAGCCACAGCACCTCACTACAGAAAGGTGCCCTAAAAACAGGAGCATTCATTGATCTGCTGATAGAGCACCTGGTATTTGTATCCTTATGACAGGTCGATCAATCAATCAATTGATCAAGATCTCTCATTAATGTTTAGTATAGCAAAACTTGTTC